CGTGCTATAGACCAGGGATCACCAAATTTGTTCCTGGAGGTCCGGTGTTCTGCAGATTTTAGCTCCAACCCTAATCAGACACACCTGAACAAGCCAATCAAGATCTTACTAGGTATACTTAAAACACCCAGGCAGGTGTGTTGAGGCAAACCCTGAGCTAAACCCTGCAGCGCACCGGACCTCCAGGAACGAGTTTGGTGACCCCTGATCTATAGACTATAGAATACACACCTTAAATACCTTAAGGGGACTTTGAATCTGCTGGATTCTCATCTAATTAGCATTTTAACACAACAAACCTGCTGAAAAATCCAGCTTAAACCAGCCTAGGCTGGTTTAAGCTGGATAATTTAAACTAGCGTTCATATTTGAAACTGATATCGGTGCTAAATATTTTGTTCAAGATGTGGTCACAGCCTTGGTCTAAAATGAAAACCCAACCACTAATCTTTATTCATAGCTATTTTTATTGACTTTAATGTACAAACATGATTTTGAATATAATATAATACACGATCAGAAGGCACAGCATGGAAGTGTTGCAGTGCACGTTGAAGCGATCAGAGCATGAAGTCACATTTATCTCAATCTGAAGCACATATTGGCTTTGTTTGTGTCTGTAAGCGAATGCAGACTCGTTCACGGCACATACAAAAGGCATTCATAGGAGTTTTCACAGTTACTAATGAGTCACGGATCAATCCTCTTGGCTCGTCATTGTAAAGATGCTGCGTTTAGAACTCTTCGTTCTGCGTGGAAATGGAAATACAACCCGAGAGAAACCCAAAAGCCAAGTTTTTATACGTTATAAGCATTTATGCTGCATTCAACATCCATTTACGCTTAAATATATTCAGATTCCCTCTTCAACAGCATGCAGGTAGACTTCTCATAAGTTAATTCAGAAAATAAACAGTGATTTCACCACACAATGATTCAGAGCGAAGTCTACACGAAGCATAAACGTGAAGAAGTCTGTTATAATACGATAAAGCTAATGAATGCACTTTTATGGACTGCCCTTTGTAAACATCAGCAGTCGATGGGTTATTAATGACTATTTTTCAGGATAGCCAAAGTGCAGTGTGCATATCATTTACAATTGAACTTTATGGCTGATTTTTGGTTTAATTAATACATTAAAGTCAGTCATGGACTGATGAAAGACATACAAATATATGTATATGTACATAAAGAGACTTCCAGGATAAGAAGTTTTGCATCTCAAAAGACAAAAATCTCATACCCTGCTGAAAAAAACAAGCTGATTGGCTTGTTTTTGCTGGTCGACCGGCCTGGATTTAGAGCGGTTTTGGCCATTTTCAGACTGCTTTCAGACATTTCCAGCCTGGTCTTATAATCAGCTAAAACCAGCTTGACTAGCCTAGCCAGGGTGGGAGACCAGTTAAAACTAGCTACATTTGAAGTCAGAATTATTAGCCCCCTTTTTAGTTATTATTTTTTATTAATTTAAAAAATGTATGATAATCATTATTATTATATATATATATATATATATATATATATATATATATATATATATATATATATATATATATATATATATATATATATATATATATATATATATATATATATATATATATATATATATATATATATATATATATATATATATATATATATATATATATATATATATATATATATATATATATATATATATATATATATATATATATATATATATATATATATATATATATATATATATATATATATATATATATATATATATATATATATATATATATATATATATATATATATATATATATATATATATATATATATATATATATATATATATATATATATATATATATATATATATATATATATATATATATATATATATATATATATATATATATATATATATATATATATA